TGGAGTAGGTAAACATAAAAATTCGGCTATATGCAGAGACGTTTTCTGTTATTTATTGGTTTAAGGGGCCTATTGTAGCATGTAAGAAGGCGAGGAAGTACCCTAAATTTCAGTTCTCAGTTTTAGCAGTGAAAATGGCAGCATAATTCAATATTCGCTCAAAGAAACGTACTATCAAAATCTGTAGGTAACAGTGATAGGAACAGTTACAACAACTAACAATTTCTTATTTGTTTGAGCTCATTGCATGGCAAAATCTTTACGGAATGAGTGAATGATACCAATCTGATTGAACATAAACGAAACAGAACGCTAAAACACAAATTTTCGGTGAGAGAAGCTGTGTACTGTATTCTGCAATTTTACATAAATCTTTTGATTATTGTGTCTTTCATACCGAGTTGTGATCTAGAAGAATGCCAATGTTTGACTCTTAAATATTTTGGTTTTTGGTAAATTTTCGTGTAACAGTACTCTTTTACACATTGTCGAGCGCTATGTAAAATTGTAGAATGCAATTTAATGATAAAGCTAAATATAATGATGGAACCTTATGAATCGTTGTGAATGCGCTATCAGTTTTCATTTGTGTTAAATGTTTTCTTGACTAAGTATCTCATGGTTTTCCTTCTAGAAACAGTCTTTTGCCAACCTAATATCTTCCACTTGCTGATTTAAGGGGCTGATTATCGTTGATTTGAAATTCTTTTAAAGGCGTATCCAGGAAAATGTTTAGCAATAGCAAATCAAAATAAGTGTTTCTAGCAGGGCTGGAAACTACTTTTTCTTGATTTTGAAGGTTTAAGCGCTTTTTGTACCTTTTTCTCAAAAGGTGTAAAGAGGGAATAATTTTAACAAGAAATGTAAGAGCGTTATAAAAAAAAACTTGATAGGAAATTCATTGGTTATTTCGGTTCTTACCTTGAACATCTCTCCAATGTTCTCGACAACCCTCTGATGGGAAACAGTTACCCTTATTAGTATTTTTGTGTCTTCGTCATAATAAGATGTTTTTTAAAGTTCCATACACAAATTTGGGTTCAAAAAATAATCGTCGACTATACATTTATCATATCTGCACAGCACTTTTTTCTGGCATGGGCATGGTTTTTGTTATGCCTTCTCAAAGAACTTTTTCAAAATAACTAAGAGGCAGATCTATGATTTTGGCTTCTTTCGTTCACTGGGAATTTTTAGTGTTTGCAGGTAGTAGCACTTCCCTTTTTACCCTATCCTTTGATTAAGGACAAATTTAATGACGAATTTCCGAATTTCGAGGGTTTAGTGCAATACGTAACTCATGTGTAGCGAGCCAAACATTTCATTTTGACAGGTTTGAACTATGACCAAAATCTTATGGACTGAAGCAAAAATTGATATAGCTAGGATAGAGATATTGCCCACCTTGGGTTGCAATTACCAACCAACAAAACTCATACGATCATTGGTAAACGAGCTGTCGTAACTTTGTTAAAGTCAGTAAAAAGTTTGAAAAATAAAGTATACCTGCTCGAGATTGCAAGCATTCACTCATTCCATACCACACGCATAGCACAGTATTGTTGCCCACACTCTGTTGCGCTTCTTTTCAATGTATTAATTCACCTCGTCAATTTCAACTTCTAATTTTTCTTATTGTTTGAAGTATCGTCTATCCACGCGCAGATGGGACTCTTCTGTCATTGTGGGTTTGTTGTATCATTGTCAAGGGCGAGGAGTTTGGAGTGTTCATTGTTGTGAAACTTCAACCACCTCGTCCCTCTAATTTTGCTTGTTCCCCAATTCGTCATTCGTAAATTTGTTGTGAAAAACAACGCATGCAATTTGCTATGCTATACGTTGCAAAGGGATTCACGCTTCATGTGAACATTGTGCCGGCTATATTAGGGCTATATTGTGCTAAAAATTCTTATTTTACCAATGGTTATGATCTGGGTAAATCCGTGATCTGTTCCTGATAAGAATAAGCTGAAAGTAACGACATTGTGCATTTGAGGATACATTCAGCTTGCTATGTTCTTGGCTCATGTTGCTGTTGTTCATTGTTCGTCCCTGTTTGACATTTGCAAATATTTTTGTTTTCAGCGAATCCCGAAATTGCCCCGGCCTCGCTGTGGAATCGCAAGGATATTGTAGAGTTCAAAAATACCATTAAGAAGGAAGGAAGCGAGGGAATTATCAAAGTTGGGCATGGAGAAACGGTTACGGTAAGATTTCAGGGTTAGAGGCACTTGAAAGAAGCTCTAGGTTAGTGTAATGGTTAAGGTACGTGTTCCTACCCATGAAGAGGGTACATGCCTCTTCTGGGAATTTGCAACTGACTACTATGATATCGGCTTTGGTGTTTACTTTGAATGGACAATCGCTGACAGCAATCAGGTAATAAATGATTCTTTACACTAACATTCCTTTTTCATTACTTTCTTCATAACTTTTCGTATTTACTATCTTTTTTCCTTTTCCTAGTTTTGGTTCCTTGATTTCCAAGTTTCTCAGGTTTCGATCCATGTTAGTGAATCAGACGACGAGGAAGAGTTTGATGAAACCAATCCGGAAGGAGTAGAAGGAGGTG